ATCCATGGTTAATAGAATATGTTATATATATATATATATATACTGTTGTAAATGTACACACAATGATTCCATTGAGTGTTTCAGTAAGATCCATGGTTAATAGAATATGTTGCTAAAATGACAATTCTCACRGTTTTTGCTATTGGCAGCAGGAAATACCACTTCCAGTCACTACAATAGTCTTTGACGCACCTTCAGGTCAAAATAATGGATCAAAACAGTTTTTGAATCATATGAATTCATAAAAAATGTCACTATTTGATTTAGATGTTTGCATTTTTGCATCTTTTCAGAACAGTGTAATTATYTTTTTCATTCCTCATGTTCCTTTAAATCACATTGTTCAGGGAGACATGAGTGCTGGTCTGAAACAGTGTAATGATATTTCATACCTTTGAAGCTATGGCCACCTTAGTAGGAACTCAACTCTCGCAAATGAGCATTTTATGAATTCAGTTTCATTCATAAATGTTACTTTATTGGCGCTTGTGGTGCCGCTGCGTGGGTTCCGTTTTAATTAGAAATTTGTAGTTGATCCCATCAGGCAGGAAGTTGATTGAAAAATGGTTTTGATGTACTGTATAACATACTAACTGTTAAGTCACCTAATGTTTAATGTTTAATTAATGGAATCAACCTGTTATGAATTTTGTTTCTTATCACCACGTTTTATTTGGTTTGACTTCCTACTTTTATGTGAAAATTGCTGTTGATTCAAACAAAAAAAGTACCAGAAATGTGTGTCAATTTGTCCGACTACAAACAGTAAGTGTGTATTTTTCTCCCTTGAAATAATCTTTTCAGTTTTTATAGTTTTATCCACTTATCTGGCTCATTGATGCTTCTTCTTTGTAAAACAAAATGTCACATACGCTAAACTAATTTTTCCAATTCCTTTGAGATCAGCTCAATTTGTTTTTAACCTAATTACATAAATTAATTTAACTTTCAGTGATTATAGCAGCAGAATTTAACATTTAAATGAGCAGTTTTCCTTTTGGTAATCAATTAGACTTGCAGTACCAACTTGCCTCCCCCCCATTCTACCTTTGCAGAGAATTAAATAATTCAAAGCACAGTGTTAACCTATCATTGACTGGACTGGAACTCCAGCAGCACAGATAGATATGTTCAGCTTTTTTCCCACTGCATTCCTAGTTAACAGAAGGGATTCACAGACATGAGCTTCTTTTGAATAATGGATCTTTAACTGACTAATGGCCTTTATTGAGTTCTTTGGGCAGTCAGGGGGAATTACAACACTGATAAAACGTGGCTCCTTCTACTCAAGTTTTAGTCCTCCACCCTTGTTATTCCCCATGAGTATCAGTGCTCYTCTAAATGACAGAAAAGTCACTTTTTACAGCAACGATGCAAAAACTAGATATTCAGATTAGATATATGGCCAAAAAAACACAAATGCTACCATGCTAAAGTTTGTGAGATTTGCTTTATTCCGAAACAGAAGTTATTTTTTCTTCATAGATTATCTTAGTGAAGAGTGTGATCAAAGTTGATATTGTATTTTCAAGGGTAACAAGGTTTATTTTTACACAACACTGTGTACATAAGTTTGCAATTAATACATATTTTAGAAATATACACATTAGCTTATTATAATTAAGGGAAAGTGTTTAGGATGCGTGTGATAAATTTAAACAGGAACATTTTGTGCTCTGACTTCAGAACATAAAACTAAGGATTCTGGATCAGCTAATTTGAATAAATTGTGCATATTCCCCTTGTCTAACATTTGAATAATACCATTTATAACCCTAACTAACTGCACGAAGCCAAAATCTTATATAAAGATGAACTTTGGAATAATGGACGACAATAGGCAGTGGTGGACAAAGTACTCAACTCTAGTACTTGAGTAAAAGAATTGATATTCATGGTCAAATCTTAATCACCTACAAGTAAAAGTTACTCGGTCAAAAGTCTACTCAAGTTAAAGTACTGAAGTACTTACTTTTGAAAATACTTAAGTATTTAAAAGTACATTTAAAAATACTCGAGCATTCAAAAGTACAAATTTTATTTTCTATTATCAGTACATTGCTGTATTGCTTTCAAAGTGATTTTACAGAACATTGTCACTCTCAGAAACCATCTGATGCATCAACAACCACTCTGCTACAAAGTCTACCCCACCTGTAAAGACTTCAGCATAAAAATGCAATAAAAAGAGTTCTTAAATGTAGAAATGCAGATTATCCACAGTGAACACAGAGACATTTAAACTGATGCAAACTAATTTTCAGTTCTAAAATCTCAAACACTGAGCTCAGCTATGGCCATTAGAGCTGGAATAAATGACTCTTTGAAGGGATCCGGATCTTGAGGAGCCATTTGTTTCATAGAGCCGTTCAAAAGAGCCATTCGAATTTGAACGTATTACGTCATCACGTAGCCATACGTAATGACGTAATCCCGTCTCGTGGGTGGAACCATTTATTGGTCAAGCGGAAACCCGCCTCCCCCTTTCACCGTGAGCTTCTGTACTCCACAACTCCACCTGTTTTCCGTGAAAAAGCAAATCGGGAGCAATTTAAATATGAAAAATAAAGATTATATAAGGAATAAACTAAATAAAAC